CTCATTGTTATGGGATCCAAACCTAAGAATTTATGTACTCATTGTTATGGATTTTTTTCTATTTTGATAGATAATAATCTGTCACCTACATGTACTAAAAATTGCTAAGACAATATCTGCTGTCAGATGATGAACTGTCTATAGTCCAGGCATCCTCAAACTACAGCCTGCCGGCCACATGCGGCCAGCCTAGGATATTTATCCAGCCTGCTGGGTGTTTTTGCCACCACTGCCTGTCCTGCTTAGTAGCCAACTGGTCCCAGGGTCTGCAGTCCGGCCCTCCTATGGTCTGAGGGACAGTGAACTGGCTCCGTTTAAAAAGTATGAGGACCCCTGGAAGAATCAGTAGGAAATAGACAACTCTCAACTAAACCCTTTCTTTGCTGTGTGAAGCCCAGGTTATCACTCTAGGTTCTCAACCTTCCTAAAGCTGCAATGTATTTTCATTGTTAAAAAGGGGTCACGACCCATAGTCTGAGAACCACTGCTCTAGGGTCTGAGCAGAGTTCTTTTCTTCTGCCCACCCACCCCAGCCAGAGGGCTCCAGTTCTAGTGTGACAGGTGCTATTTGTCTCCTCCCAGCCACCTCCCTTAGGAAGAAAAGTTGTTTTCCCAGTGGTGGCAGGAGCCCCTCACCTAGCTGTACATCAGAATTACCTGTCAAAAATGTAGGCACAGTTTTTGACAAGTGATATATTCAGGTGGGCTGGTACTGGGATTCAGGATAAGTAACCATACACTCAATTGTAAGATATGGGAGTTTGGGGAACTGAGAACTGGTGGCTGGGGTAGAAGATGGTGTTCTGCTAGACACCATTTCTGATGTAGAGACATCTGTCCCATTCCCAACCAGGCAACAGAAAAGCATTTCTGTGCCTCCTTAGCCTCTTTAGTTGTATAGGGTCAAATATGTTTAAATGTAGATCATGGATGGATTTGATCTAAATTTCTCAGAGCTGATGAGCTCTCTCACAACTAGAGTAAACATAGCCCAAAATGCCTAATTGTAGGAAGTAATAGATGTCTTTACAAAAAACTAAACTGGAAACTACCCCAGTCCCTACAGTTTTAGAAAATGCAAAGAAAGGGGTCTCAAAAAAAAACTTCTTTTTTGAGTCTCATTATGTCACCCTCAGTAGAGTGCTATGAATGACATCACAGCTCACAGCAACCTCAAACTCTTGGGCTTAAGCAATTCTCTTGCCTCAGCCACCCAAGTAGCTAGGACTACAGGCACCCACTACAATTCCTGGCTATTTTTTGTTGTTGTTGTAGTTGTCATGTTTGGCAGGCTCTGGGGGTCAAACCTGCCTGCCAGCCCTCCCAGTGCATGTGGTGGGCGCCCTAGCCGCTGAGCTACAGGCACTGAGCCTCAAAATTTCAAAACATATTTTTTAGAGGGTGAGAAAGGAATAGTTTTGAAACAAAGGGGCTTCAGCCATAATTTAACCACATTTCAATCTATAGTTAACATACATGTGGCTTCATGTTGTATGTCTGAGAGAAAATGCTAAGTTTTTGATATATTTCAATTAAAACTATTTTTTCAACTTATGAATAGTGGTTGTGGAGAGGTAGAATCAACTTCTGATAATTGTACAAAAATCTGCTATTGTATAGTTTCTAATCTGTTTCTCAAAAAATAGTTTGTAATTTACTATGTGATTTAAACCCAAGTCAAACATAAATTAATTTCACTGTGTACATAATCATGGCTGTATTGAATTACTTTCACAGACCAACAAAGCAAAATTAAAAGTGAACACTGAGAGTGGCCCAGGCCAGTTAACAAGAAGCCTCTGATGGGCATTATGGTGGATCCCCAGTTACTTTGGCCCTTCTGTCAAGACCTATGCCCCTTTTCTGCTTAAACATCTCTGGTCACTCAGAGAAGGGTAATTTTTTAACTGCAGTATTGTGGAAAATGAGTAACCGAGAGTCAGAGTAAGGACATTAGACTAGCATGCAATTGAAGGGTGTCTTCATTCATTCCACACATTTAATGGGCATCTACTAAATGCCAAGGAATGTTCTAGGTGTCATGGATACAGCTGTGAATACAGAAAGCAAAGCTCCTCTATCATACAACATTTTAGACTATTGGGGAGCAACAGGGGAGCAAACAATAAACATATGCCAGATGCTAAGTACTATAAGGAAGAATAAAGCAGATGACGGGCTTGGAGGTTAAGGAGGGGCTGTTCTACAAAGGTGACAAGAGATGTCTTGCCTGAGACAATGAGACTAGAGCAGAGACTCTTGAAGTCATGGAGCTTGCCAGGCAGAGATATGGGGGCAGAGTGCCCCAGTAATGCCCATGTCAATATGGACAGAATCAGTGCTGGTCTGATGAGAGCCCAGTGTGTGCTCAGTACTATGCTGAGTCTCCTGGAGGATGATACAGGAATACAGAAGGACAGGAGGACAGGTCATGCACTCATAAGCACTTGGGCAGTAGCAGAACTGGGCTGCCTGGGTGGCTCCACAATTACCAGCTATGTGACCTCAGTCAAGTCAACATCTCTACATCTCAATTCCCTTGAATGCAGGGTGGGCAGAATAATGGCAGTGCTGATGAGTCAATCTGTGGACCATCCTCAGCAAGCACTCACTAAGTGTCAGCCATGCATAACAGGGTAACAAGACCGATCATCCATCATTTCTGATCTCAAACCCTACAGCATTTCTGATCAGATTGGTATGATTAGGAGACTGACCACACTTTCTCATCTTCTAGGTTCTTTACCAACCAGTGGTTCTCAACCAGGGCCAATTTTGTCCCTCAGGAGACATTTGGCAAAGCCTAGAAACATTTTTTATATATCTTATTTTTATTTTTTCTTTTCTTTTTTTTTTAGTGAATATGTTGGGTCAGGCTAAAATTATTGCTGATAATGTTTATTCAGAACTTCATAAATGTCCCTATACTGAAGGATTTTCAAACACTAAGAAAACATTATTACATGCAATAAAGCTGTTTGTAGTCATGTTTATGAAATAATTATGAGAACACGGGAATGAGAGAAACAAAACCAGGAAACAAAACTGCACAGACACAGGATTACAACTATTTAAAACTTCTAGATCATAAGATTTATAAAGTAAAGACTAGCAGGATGGACTCCAAAACACTGATAATGGCTCTCTTTCCCTCGCACTTTAAAATCTTTTCTAAAGGCCAGGCGCAGTGACTGACACCTGTAATCCTAGCATTCTGGGAGGCCGAGGCAGGTAGATTGCCTCATCTCACAGGTTTCAGACCAACCTGAGCCAGAGGGAGACCTCATCTCTAAAAAATAGCTGGGCATTGTGGTGGGTGCCTGTGGTCCCAGCTACTAGGGAGGCTGAGGGAGCGAATAGTTCAAACCCAAGAGCTGGAGGTTGCTGTGAGCTGTGACAAACAGCACTCTAACGAGGGCGACAGAGTGAGACTCTGTCTCCAAAAAATATAATAAATAAAAAATCTTTTCTAAACTTTTTGAGATCTATGTTACTATTATAATGTAGGGAGAAAACACCTCTTCCCCTCCCTTGAAGGCTGCTAACCTTTATCTTAGGGATCCCAGTCTGAGGAGTCCAGTTTTTAAAAAGAATCTGAATCACGCAAAAAGATTTTGGCACACAGATGTTCATTTTACCACGATGTATAATTTTAAAAATTTGAAATCACCTAAGTGTTCCCAGAAGGGCAGGGCTTGTTGCTTTCTTGTTTTCCATCTCCTTTCTCCTCGGGCTATTCCTGCCACCAAAGGTGGCAAAGTCATGTGACTGGGACTGACCAATCACAGTGGGCCCTGGACTTCTGCCCCACCCCTTTCTCTTCCGGGTTGAGAGTGCAACTGGCGGCCTCTTCCGGCCTCAACTGGGACGCAGAAGTCTGTCTGGGTGGCCAAGAGACAATACACCAGATGACATCTTTATCCTCTGGCCCTACACGCACCCAAAGGCCACTGTATCCTAAGCTAGTATCCTGCTCCAATAAACTCCTTTTGTTATATAAGCCAGTTTGAGTTGGTTTTGAACATTAAAACAGAAAGAGCAGTGACCAAGAGAATATTTGGTAATATAAGAAAGCAATACCTATGAAAACATTGAATGGTAGAAAATACTGCTGAGTGAAAACTGCAAGGCATAAAGTTATAGCTCATAAACAAACGAGGAA